GAGTGAAATGCACTATCTGCTCGATGACAGGGTGTTGCCAGTGACTAGAACTCTTAGCAAAGCCAATCCCTCAACCCCTCCCCCGAATCCAAGCCTAATGATCGCCTTCTCTTCCTTTTCCTTCTCCCCCATCGGTCTTCATCGGCTTCGAGCCCAACGACAAGACGACGAGTGCTGGGCTCTCAACATCCGGCCTTCTGTTAGGTAGGTAGGTAGGTAGGTAGGTAGGTAGGTAGGTAGGTAGGTAGACACCGGAGGGATGTAACACAATGATGTTCATGTAGACTCAAACTACTTAGCAACCTTTATCGTTAAATGTATATAGGCCTGAGCATCTTCACAAAGACGTGTGCGCACACAGACTCAGATATGTTATATATACATACAAATAATAATACCATCGTTGTGAGCGTACAGCATGAATACAAGATGTGCAACCAAGCATGTGCATATTACACGCAGGAACCTATATGTATATATGTGGCTCTGTATATACATATATATATATGTATAGATATGTAGGTGGGTAGGTAGGTAGGTAGGTAGGTAGGTAGGTAGGTAAGTAAGTAAGTAAGTAAGTAAGTAAGTAAGTAAGTAAGTAAGTAAGTAAGTAAGTAAGTAGGAAGGTACTAGCTAGCTAGGTGCTAGCTACCTAGGTCAGGGAATGTATGCATATCTACACATGTATGTATGTATGTATGTATGTATGTCTGCATGTATACATGGGCACCTGTATGTATGTATGTGTGTCCACTGAAAGTGCGAAGCTGCATATGGTGCTGCACACAGACATTCGTGATGTCTGCTGCATGCATAAGGATACTTTCTCACAGCCGTGTACATGAGAAAACAAGAGGGTATACACAGCGGAAGGAGACCTGCTGATGCATGCCCCTGTTCTGTGACTACATGTAAACGATGGTACAAGGAAAGCTTGGCAGGCTTTGCGTCCGACTTTCGGGGGTCTACTTTAGCTGTGGGTGGGGTTTTAGGTGTTGAGTAGAGGCCTGTAATACCGTAGGACGGCTCATGATGCTGACCCCAGCACTTCACAAATCTTCGGTAGCTGCCTGATGGCATGCCAATAAGCTACGCTGCATCACACGCATGTGGATCCGCCGTACGTGGACCCGTCTCGAAAGTCGACACGGGCGCCCTATATAGTCTTCCTGCTGCTGGTTTGCAGTGCTGAGCGGGTTGATGATCCAATGATTTTGCTTTGCCTGTTCGATCATTTCGTCAGCAGTGTGCGCCAACATATGGGCCTTGGGGACCATGAGGAACCTGTTGATTCCCCGCACCACAGCTTCACTTGCACATGCCTGGTAGATGACCATAAAAGCTTCTAGCATGCGACCCAGCCGTCCCCCCCGCTCTGCGGGGATCCAAAAGCCCTCACCGTAGAGCACGGAGATGAACGTGTTCATCAACCGGGTGGCTTCGGCCTTTGTTGCGCAGAAAGCTTTGGGTTGCATCACAAACGTTCTTAATTGTTGCTGTCGACAGGCAAATCGAGGTTTTTTACGAACACAGGACAACTTGAAATGCATATTTGCAATCTGAGATGCGATGCCCGAAAAGATCTTATCCGGCGTGTGCGGCTCAATGAACCGCTCGCAAAGGTCCTGCAGGTAAAGCATTGTCTGGGTGGTGACTTCTGCTTTGCTCCACAAACCCTGCGGATAGGAGTCGAAAGAATCCATACTGAGGTTGTCCCTTGTAAACTCTTTCATAAACGGTGTGATGTTGACTCGCGAGCAATAGCTGATAAAGTCTGCAGAAAGCCACTCCAGCTTCTTCTCGATTGATCTTTCTGGGATAATCTGAACCCGATAAATGAACATGGCCAGAGCATTCGCCACCCAAAACTTTCCCAAGCCATTGTGAAAGTTGTGCCAAAAGTCCGTAACAAAAAAAGCCTCAGGCTTGTCTGGCAAGCCAGGAATCGCCGCCAAGATTGGCGGCTCTTCCTGCCAGGGGCGTTCAGCAAAAGCTGTTGTTTTCCAGGCCGCCGCTGGCCTGAAGTCCTCAAACGGAATATGGACAGGATGTTCTTGCCCCGCTTTGCATAGCCAACATATGCCAACACACGGCGTTTTGGACGAAGGTTTCTTTGGCACCCGGCTGTAGTTTCTCACGAAGTTGCCGATTTTTCCCAATGCTGGGAGATCTCCTTTGACCCCCAAAATTTGGATCCAAAGTCTTTTCTCTCCATTCTCGCTCCAAACACCCTGCGTAGCCAGATCGGTCATATCTTGGCCAAAGGCAGCCATGAGCTTGTCGAGACAGGAAGCATCCTTGTTGATGTAGCTGCGCAAAAGGCTGCCAAATGCAAAATGTGTGCTCCACGTTGAACCAATGTAGTTCATTCCCATGGGGTCCCTTTTGATGTTGGGTTTGCGCACAATCCTTCTGGCATAGCTACGTGTCTCCTTTCCAACACATCCGTGTACGGACAATATCAAGAGGGCCTTGGATTTATATGTTCGCCCTTCGTCGACGTGCCCGAAAACGGGCTGCGTAGCTGCAGAGTCTGATTCTCTGCCAAAACATAAACCTGATGTTCTGGGTAGAGCTTCCTGTACCGCTGCCAGAATTCTTCCAGCCTTGGTTCCATTTCCGGTTCCGGTACGCCAGTCAGCTGCTCAAGCCTCCCAGAATCCAAAAGGTATTTGGCCCAGGTTGAAATCTTGACCACAGGCAGCTTTTTGAGCTCCCCTTCATTTCCAGCATCGATGGTTTCTATTTCGACAGGAACTGTCAAGCCGTACTTCTTGAAAAGTTTGTGACATGCTTCCTCAGCATCCTTTTCACGGATGCTGGCAAACTCTCTCAAAGCCGGAGGCAGCAAGCTGATATCATTCGGTGAGTCCTCAACACTGGCCTTGGCCAGCTCCACGGCGTGGCTGCAAGGGGCCTTGGCAAGCCCAACAGTTATTGATTTCGAACCAGGGAGAGACGTTTGCACAACACTTGCAACGCATGGCTGAAAGCATGGAGCACCATTTTTTGTCTGCAACGATGAACCCCGATCTTGCAACACAAGAAAAGAGCTGTGTTTTGCAACAGCAATTCTGAACTGTCGAAGCTTGCGAAAACGGTTTTATCCCACTCTGCAGTGTTGATCAGCTCGACCCCCAGTTACATATGCATAGTAGGGTGGCACAGAAGATACCCGGTTCAAGGCACCTTCACCTCCACTACCTGGTGTGTTTTGACACCCGGAGCAAGAGTGAAACAGGCTGACAAGGGCGGCTTCCAACATGTGAATCTCTTTCACACTGGACCCACAAAATATAACCCACATGGCCGTAAAGTTCTTTCTTCGGTAGTCTACATACCGCACAACTGGATTCGAAGTCACCCCTACCTTAAAAACACAAAGACTGATGCTAATGTGCTCTCGGAAAGATGTAACTTGCTGTGCACAATAGGACAGGACTCGTCCACTAGAAGGCGGGCTGGGTCGCAAAGGCATGAGGTGATTGTACAACCCGAACTGGCGAACCTCTTGCCAAGGAATCGAAGCTGGCTCAGAAGCAGCAGCGATTTTCTCCAGGGCTGCTGGCGTAGCACATGTAGCCTGAGATTTGGAGGGTGAAGGAACCATATTGGGGAGCATTGACATACAGCGAGTGTACGACCGCATTTTGGGTACTGTTGTAGGACTGTATATTTGGCTCGGCAGAAGCTTCACTTCCAGTGCCCCAGAACACAATCCTAAAATGCGACGCACAACTGAAACTCACAGCTGCCCAGTTGCTGGCACATCTTCATCGCCGTCGCCGCGATGCTTTGGAGCTGTCGGGGCCACGGGCACCACGTGATTCCAGGACTCAGTGCGCAAAGTCCTGGGATGGACAGTGTTCACACTCTTTGGGTTTCGCGTTCTTTTGTGCTAGGCCTGAATAGGATCTACGTACGCAGGCAAAGATAAACAAAAAAGGCAGATACCAATGGCTTGCGAGAGTCTTGCACAAGTGCAGAGGTTCATCACTCCCACTGGTCACAACTAGTGAGGATTGCGCAGCACACCGCTTCTTACCATCAGGGGCTTCGTATGTGATCAAATCCAGAAAGTCTTCAAGGGTCTTGCCACGAGAGTAGGCCATTGCTTGACAAACACAAGGTAGCCTACACCCCTACACTGGTTGCAGCCCTACAGTACATTATGTTGTGTGCAGTCGACAAAAACTATGTAGTTAATGAAGTTGCCTGAATTTCGCATGACCACACCTGTCATCTTGGAAGCCAGCAGTAGCTACATGTGGATGGTGGTACACTGTGCCAACTTTGTGTAAGCCTGAACAGAAACAGCTGTACACAGAAGTTTGTGGTGTCATGCCCGCAGCAGCCGAAGTCTCCAACAAAAGAACGAGTGCCCACATGGATCCTGAGGCTGAAGCTCCTCGAGCCACCTGCTTCGCCAGCTTCCGCACCACAGCCCCTGGGTCCCAACCTGGCGTGCAGCTGCTGGTGTTTGCTTCGAGGTTTTAACTCAGCACTTACGATCAAAGTGATTGGGCTTCCTAGGAGCAGTTGTGAGGGGTATATAGGATTTGGTTTTGAAGGATTGATCGGTGAGGACATTGTAATGATGGTATTGGATAGACCTATGGAACCATGGAGTTATTTGACTGCGCAATCAAGCTACGGACTTCAAGGAAGCATCGCTCAACCAAGATTTTCACGTCGTCGCGAGAAGCAGTGCTTTCGATCGAGCGAGACACAGACAACTATCAAATTTCTAGTGGCAACCCCGGAACTTGTGAGCAGCGGCACTGCTGCTGAGGGGCCAAAGCAGACTGCCATCCAGGAAGCAGCTTGAGGCTAGTTCAAGATACAACCAGAGGTTTAAATTAGGGATACATGGGGCTGAAGGATTCTAGGGGCCACCTTAAAAGTATAAACCTATAGCTGGTTACCATTAGCCATGAAGCTAGGAGGCAGCAGCCTACATATGTGCCCGGACGACCCTAGTAGCACCAACTGGAAGACCAGCTCGTGTTCTCAGCCAATCTTCGCATGAGATCGCTTCCCCGCAACCTCTGCGTGCTGGTACTCCCCGAGAAGAGGCTCAGCCATAGATCGATTTGAGGCTTCTGACAAGGGTCCTTGGAAGGCAAATCAATCCATCTTAAGCAACAATGGATCTCTGCGCCCTGAAAGAGCTGATTGCAACTGGGTTTCTTCCCCGAAGCCTCTGCTGTCGTGACCTTGGAACACCTTGGAGATCCAGGGCACATGCATGCCTGACCCTGGTACGGAAACCACACAAACCTCGTTGGACACGCAGACAATGTGAGTGTCACCAGAAAAGCCTCAAAACATTCTGCAATCGAGAAACACCTTGGTAGACAGCTGGGTCTGCTTGGCCATCTTGACTTGCATCCTAGGCTGCACAAGCTGTGTGGAGAAGGACATGGACATCAACGAGGCCGGGCAAAAGACTTCACTACGTATGTGCATATGTTTCACATCAGCACATTGCAATCATGCGGCTCCTTCTCTTCAGTCTCGTTAAGCTGGCGAGGGGGAATTTCGGCTCTGAGGGTCTCCACCTTTTCATACTCAGAGTGAAGGATTTCGATGGCGGCTTCGAGGGCAGTCTGGCACCTCACAAGTTTTCACAATATTGCCACACTACAGAACACATTTTGCAAACACAAAGATGCACATCTGCGCATACAGCATTAACTGCATGGGCGGGGCTTGTCGATCTTCTTCTTCTCTTCGTCGCTTGCTCCTTCCCTGTAGGAAGTCACAGCAGCCTCGAGCTCTGTCACTTTCGATGCCCGTTGGAGCATCGACTCCCCGAACTTTTTGAAAGCTTTCTCCTCCTGGCCAGCTACACGAACAAGTCTTAATGATCACCAGGACACCAAGACATGTGTGATTTAAATTCAGGCCCCTAATGAAACCCCAGCAGGATCCTGCTTGAACGCTGTAACCTCCACGGCTCCTTTATTCTTGCCTTTGTCAGGTTTGTCTTCGGCCGCATCATCGTCATCATCGTCGCTCACTTGCTCGACACCCAGCCGGTTGAACTTGATGTCTGTGGCTCCCTGGACCAGTTCCGTACATGTACACAGCTTTCACCCAAGGCAGAAACAGCAGGGGTTCAACAAGCAGGTTCACCGTAGCAGCACCGTAGCAGTCATTGTCTGGGTCTGCATGAGCCAAGCTGCGCTTCCCACGGTCTGCTCGTTCTCCTTCTCCTCATCGTGCTCGTAGTCCTCGGACTCATCATCGACATCTACCTTGTACTTCTTCAGCTTGCTGTTGTACTTGTCTTTCCTGAGAGAACATGTCTGTGGGAGGTCGTCCATCCCAAGCACCATACACTGTCTATAATTCTGGAGGATTTGAGGATGCAGTAGGGAAAAGACAGCACACACACACACACACGCATCAGTAGGGAAAAGACAGCACACACACACACACGCATACGTGCATGCCGAAAAGACAGCACACACACACACAAGCATACGTGCATGCCGGGCTTAGCGGGCTTTTATGCATTCCTTGTTTCTGGTGTTGTTCAAGAAGATGCTCTCCATGGTGACACACAGCGAATGAATGTAGTCCTAATTTGAGCATGTACAGTTGAGGCCGGGGCTTCCACAGCTTCTTGTCCTTTTCGCAGAAAGCCACAACCCCAGCAATGTATGTCCTTAAGACACAGATTGGGAATCGACAAAAAAAAAGTTGGAGCCAAGTGTGTGTGTGTGTGATTTGCTAGGTTAGGGCGAGACTCTTGGACCAACCCAAATTTGTGGCCATGCTCTCTTTGGTGTGCCAGGCTCGTTTCTTGCGCTTGCTCGTTCTCGTCAGCGTTTCCTTGCTCTTCGTGACAGTGGCTGTGAACTTCTTCTGGCACAGGATAGGTGTCGAAAGCAAAAAGGAATGTAACTAAGCGTGCAAGTACGTGTGACAATGCAAATCTGCCTTGTCGTAGTTCAGACTTTTCAACAAAGTGAACAGCTCTTTGCGCTCGGTACCTCCTCGCATCCACTGCTGATGCACCTCCAGTGGCACGTTAAGCTTGCCGCTCGGCTTCATCTCGCACAGTCTGCGAAGAACTTGGTCCTTTGCAGCCTGAGTGCAAGGTTTGGAAGAATCGTTCAGGGTGTGCGCTGAGGGAAAGGGGCAAGAACAGAACACACTTGCAGCTGAACATGAAATCCTTAGGGTGGGGCCATGAATGCCGGGTCCTCTTCTTCCTCAGCGTCGTGGTCCTCCTCCTCATCATCATCATGATCATCATCCTTTGGGGTGGCACTAGCTGGGGCAGCTTTGGCTTTGGCCCTGGCTGTCGAGTCGGGCACACGGAGTTCTCGCTTTGTCGAGGATGGAGTGGGCAGCGGAGGGATGCTCTTTGGGGTTGCAGTACTAGCAGTAGTCGAGCTGGGGCTGCTAGAGGGCAGGGCTGGCTGGCTGCCGCGCTTGTCGTCTCGTTGAGCTTTCTCTGCACGTTCAAGTTCTGCTTGCGCAAGCCGAACAGCCTGCAGTGTTACAACACGGATCGT